AACCTCTGGGGCGGAGCTCAGCCCGCATCCTCAGAGGATGCCTCCCTAACCTCTGGGGCGGAGCTCAGCCCGCATCCTCAGATGATGCCTCCCTAGCCTCTGGGGCGGAGCTCAGCCCGCATCCTCAGATGATGCCTCCCTAACACCAGGCAGAATCAACCAGATACTGGCCAAGGAGGAACGTGAGCTGTTGTCTTTCCCTCTTTTCAAAGCCTCACAAACTTCATGGAATCCCCCAGTTTAACCTTTCTTTTGATGGGTCAATCCTTATACACAACTGGGATGGTTTTACATTGTATTACCACTTGTATTACCACCAGAAGTCTTCTTTCAATCCGTTTTTGATAGCTGCAAATGAACAACTGAGTCAGATCCTTAGGCCAACCAAAGTCTTCTGAACTTATGCCTCTGTTCCTCACACAGCCACCTGATTCTAATTCCATCTGTTCTTTAGACTCTTTCTCTTTGATCACATGTTATCCCAAATGTTGGGTAACCTTCCCAGAACTCTAGTTTCATTATGTCATTCTTGGAACTTAAAACACCTCACCGTCACCCAGAGGATTACATGCAAGTCCTTGAATCTGCCGTCTGAGGAGCTCCATGACTTGGCCTCGCCTTGCCTGGCTCACCCTCAGTCTCGACAGGCTCTTTTCATGGCTGCCCTCTCCAGCAAGTCCACTCTCGTGTTAACGTCCACTTCCACAATCCATTCCTTTTTATGCCTTCTAGGCTTTGCTCCTTGAATTCCTCTCCCTCTGCCTCTTCACCAGTCTCAGTGGTATCCTTTCTTTTTTTTTTTTTTTTTTTTGAGACGGAGTTTCACTCTTGTTACCCAGGCTGGAGTGCAATGGCGCCATCTCGGCTCACCGCAACCTCCGCCTCCTGGGTTCAGGCAATTCTCCTGCCTCAGCCTCCTGAGTAGCTGGGATTACAAGCACGCGCCACCATGCCCAGGTGATTTTTTGTATTTTTAGTAGAGACGGGGTTTCACCATGTTGACCAGGATGGTCTCGATCTCTTGACCTCATGATCCGCCCGCCTCGGCCTCCCAAAGCGCTGGGATTATAGGCGTGAGCCACTGCGCCTGGCCCTCAGTGGTATCCTTTCTTACTACCCCACCTCAAGCCTCACATCTCCCTGCAGCCCTTTTCAACAAAGCTTGCCAATAGAAAAGTCTCAGTTCTTAGAACTCTGAATGTACCCTGGGATTATCTATCTATCTTGTGACCAGTATTTCAGCTCTCCAAATGATGTATAAAGAACCTCAAGGACAGAGATCATGTCTATGAGATTCATTTTTTCAACACTTATTGAGCACCCTCTCAGTGCCAAGCACTGCGGTGCACTGAGAAACAAGACATGGTCTCTAGGTACAAAAGTCTGAGGGTCACAGTGAAATATGTATTAGGTTGGACCATATAAAATTGTTTTTGTAGAGCAAAAATGGTCAAATATTGGCAATTTAATATAGTAAAAATAAAGAGAATGATCGAATCATGTGGTAAGATCAGAAGGGAGGGGAGGTAGGTGTTTCCATGTTCTGGTTGGTAAAGAGACAGGAGCAGATGCCTTCTATGGTCCCCAGGGTAGGTTGGCAGCAGGGAAAGGGATGGGCCCAGCTCCAGAGCCTTGCGGACATGAAGGTACGAGCCAGGCTGAGGAAATCAGACTAAGCCAGGAGGGACAGTGAGGAACAGAGAAGACAGCCTAGGAGTACAGAGGAGAGACGGCAGCTCACGTTAGGATAGGGTCTGAGGCTTTTTGGGAAGGCAATGAAATCTGTGCTGAGTCATAATGATGAGTCATAACGACACGGAATTATACAGCAAGGCAAGGATATTCTAAATAAAGACAGCATTTTTAAAAGGCATGGAGGTAAGAAAGAGCAGGCAGATGGCAGGAGTTATGGCTGAATTGGGTTCCCCCACATTTATATGTTGGAGCCATATCCCCCAGTACCTCCTAATATGACTGTCTTTGGAGACAGGGCAGCTGAGGGGTTCAAGGGGTGGTTAAATTAAAATGAGGCTGTCGGGGTGGGCCTATTCCAATGTGACTAGTGTCCTTTAGGAAGAGCAGATTAAGACATACAGAGCGACGTAAGGGATGTGCAGACACAGAGGAAAGGCCACGTGAGGACACAGCGCGAAGGCGGCTGTCACAACATGGAGTGTATATTTGGTTTCTGTCCTCACTTCCTGTCATGTAATTCCTAAAATCCTCCAGGTCTTCACAATTGTGCCTTTGTATGCTAATGAGCTGACGGGTGGCCGGCAGCCCTAGCTGGCTTCAGGAAGGGCTGGTCACCAGAAACACCAAAGCAGCAATAGGGGGTTGGGACTGTCAGCCCCTATCCCCCAACCTCCAGGGAGGGGACAGGGGTAAAGGTCAAGTTGACCACCAAAGGCCAATGGTTTGATGAATCATGTCTGTATAACGAAATCTCCATGGAAACCCAAAAGGACAAGGTGAGGCAAGCTTCTGAACGCAGGGAGGGGGCCACATCTGCGGGGGGCAGGGAAGCCCCACGCCCCTTCCCTCATCTCTTCGCCTGTATCCTTTGTAATATCTTTATAATAAATGAGTAAATGTGAGTCTTTCCCTGAGTTCTGTGAGCTGAGCTAGCAAAGTAATGAACCCAAAGCGCCCATCATGGGAACCCTAATCTCTAGCTGGTTGGTCAAAAGCACAGGGTGGACCACCCGGGGTGTGTGACTAGCGTCGGAGGTGGAGAGCAGTCTTACAGAACTGAGCCCTCACTCCGTGGGATCTGATGATCTGCACGGTGTCAGAACTAAGCTGAATTAGAGGGCTTCCCGCTGGTGTCCACTACAGAAGTCACTGCTTGCTTGGTGTGTGGGGAAACCTTCCACATGTTTGGTCACAGAAGTCTTCTGTGTTGACGGTTGCGGGGTGAGAGCAGAGGAAAAGCAGTTTGTTTTTTCTCCTCAGTGACTACAAGGCAAGGACGGAGGCCTCAGAAGAAACCAAATCTGTCAACACCTTGATCTGGGACTCCTGGCCTCCAGAATTGTGAGAAGATACATTTCTGTTGGCCTTCGGTATCTTACGACGGCAGCCCAAGCTGACTACCACGGTAGGGGTCTCTGAGCTACCTGGAGGGTCAAGCAAAGAACAAGAGATGGGACGGGGGAACGGAGGTGATGGGCAGGGACTCGCATGCCACACTAAGGGGCTTGAAGATGTTCCTGCAGGTGAGGGTTTTAGCAAGGAGGTGGCAGAATCATGAGGCGTTGGAAGGAGAGCTCTCTGGTGGCAGCAAGGAAGGGCAAGACCAGAAGTGGAAAACACTGTGGGGCTGTTGGACTGCTACGAGCAAGTGGTGAACAGAGAGTGGTACTGGGGTGAAGAAGAGGGGCTGAATGGAGGAAAACCTTAGGAGATGAAATTGGTGGCAATGGCTCCCAGGGCAGGAGTGAAGGAGAGGCAGGACCTGGAGGTCCCAGGCTCCCACCCTGCTGTGGGTGGGTCTGTGCCCCCAGCAATGAGTTTAGCACTACAGGAGGGGAGCAGATGAAGCGGGGTAGAGGGATGACCAGTAAGAGATGCCTGTGGGGTAACCAGGAGAGAGGTCAATGAGGAGTTAAGCATTCACAATTGATCTTTAGAGAGATCAGGGCTGCCACTGGAGATAGGGAGCCTTTTACTTAGAAGGGGGTATGGCCAGTCATGTCCACACCCTGCCCATGTGCACAGCAGCCTTTGGCACGCTCTCTGAGACTCAGGGGTGCCCCTGAGGTTGCCTGAGCCTGTCTTTCCTATGAACACACAGAAATGGAAGCACCTGAGACTGTACATTTTTCCAACCAATGAGATGAGTGCAGGGGCACATGCATTCTGTGGGGTCCACTGCCTGATGGAACAACAGAGGATGACCCACGCTTCCTCCAGAGTAACCCTACAAGACCTGGCCTGACGTCGTGGCACCCTGGCTTGGCCTACAAGACCCGGCCTGACGTCGTGGCACCCTGGCTTGGCCTACAAGACCCGGCCTGACGTCGTGGCACCCTGGCTTGGCCTACAAGACCCGGCCTGACGTCGTGGCACCCTGGCTTGGCCTACAAGACCCGGCCTGACGTCGTGGCACCCTGGCTTGGCCTACAAGACCCGGCCTGACGTCGTGGCACCCTGGCTTGGCCTACAAGACCCGGCCTGACGTCGTGGCACCCTGGCTTGGCCTACAAGACCCGGCCTGACGTCGTGGCACCCTGGCTTGGCCTACAAGACCCGGCCTGACGTCGTGGCACCCTGGCTTGGCCTACAAGACCCGGCCTGACGTCGTGGCACCCTGGCTTGGCCTACAAGACCCGGCCTGACGTCGTGGCACCCTGGCTTGGCCTACAAGACCCGGCCTGACGTCGTGGCACCCTGGCTTGGCCTACAAGACCCGGCCTGACGTCGTGGCACCCTAGCTTGGCCTACAAGACCCGGCCTGACGTCGTGGCACCCTGGCTTGGCCTCCTCTTCTTCTCACTTCTATTTCCCTTCCCTTTCCACCTCCTGGGAACATATATTAGTCTGTTCCTGAATTGCCATAAAGAAATACTTGAGACTGGGTAATTTATAAAGAAAAGAGGTTTAATCGGCTCATGGTTCCCCCAGACTATACAGTAAACATGGTGCTGGCATCTGCTCAGCTCCTGGGGAGGCCTCAGGAAACTTAACAATTATAGCAGAAGGCAAAGGGGAAGCAGGCCATCTTATGTGGCTGGGGCCGGAGGGAGAGTTGGTGGGGGAAGGTACCACACACTTTTGAACAACCAGAGCTCATGAGAACTCACTATTGTGACCACAGCACCAAGCGGGGTGGTGATGTTAAACCATGACAAACCACCTCTGTGATCCAATCACCTCCCCCTAGGCCCCACCTCCCACACTGGGGATTACAATTCAACATGAGATTTGGGTGGGGACACAGAGCTAAACCACACCAGAACATTTCCTAATAAATCTCTTTCCCCTATGCCTTGCGTCAGGGTCTGCGCCTGGGGAATCCCACCTAAGACAGGGGTGTGGGCAAGACCTCTCTGGGAGGACGAGCAGCTGCGTGTGGAGGCCCCGAGGAAGACCAGTCCTGAAGACGCAGGCGGGCAAAGGGCAGACCTCGAAGGAGACGGAGGAGGAGTGGCAGAGGGGCAAGAAGAGTCAGGCAAGGGACTGCCACAAAAGCCAGTGACAGAAACTTCCAGAAGAGCTGTCAAACAGTACCAAACAAAACAGAGGAGTCTAATAAGATTAACAATAAAATTTGCTTCCAGAATCCGGTGACTGTCAGGGTACAATGAGGCAAGGAAAAAACAAGTTTCCCTACACCGGTGAGAGCAGATAGCAGATTCCAGAGGACTAGGAGTTTTTAAGAGCTCTGGGAATGGAAACAAGTGTTTTGATAACAGATGAGGGTGCAGGATTTAAAGGAGAGATTATTAAGGATAGGAGAGGCTGCGTGTGGCGGCTCGCACCAGCGGTCACAGGTACTTGGGAGGCTGTTGCGGCAGGATCACCTGAGCCTGGGAGGCAGAGGTTACAGTGAGACGAAACCATGCCGCTAAACGACAGCTTGGTCAACAGAGCCAGATCCCACCTCAAAGAAAAAAAGATAGGAGAAGTGTGTGAGCACAGCTAGGGACGGGAGGGAAGGCTAAGGACAGAGCGCAGGGGTCGCGACAGAGCCAGGTCCTGGCGGAGGAAGGCCTCCGGTGGCTGGTGCATTGGGCAGGGGCCCCAGGACAATTCCCTTTTGGAGCTTGCCCCCACCAAAGCAGATGAAACCGAGATGTTCATCTCTACTTACCAGACTCATTTTTGAAGTCTGCAAGCTTTCAATTTAAAAATAAGATGGTATGAATCAATAAAAATGTAGCTAATTCAATTCAGGTATGAATGACATATTAAAATATGATGATATGCTTGGCTTGCATCAAGAGGATTGAAAAGGACTGCCTGCCCTTCTTGGTAAGCAACAAGACCCCACCCAGGTAATCCCATAAAAGAGAAGGCTCCATGGTGCTCCAGCGGCACACAAAGGTAACTAGATGGTGATTCTGGGCTAAGTCACCATCATCACGCCTGTGGGTGCCCGGGAAGGGATTCCTGTCCTCCCTGAAAGGACAGGACAAATACCAGCCCACGGTCCAAAGTGATGAGTGCCGCATTTTCCCATTCTGTCTGGATCCTTCTTCCCCTTCTTCCTCAAGGGGAGAGGGTTCAATTCGATGAAACTGTGTCAAGGCACATGCACTTCCAGCTCTACCCTGAAGCTAGCAATTCAACTTTAGCAGTATTAAGGAAGACAGAATGTCACTTGGGCATCTGAGAAGTCGGGGGTAGATATAAATGCAGATGCGTTTACAGGATCAAAAGAAGAACATGGCTGATGGCCTCAGTTTTCCCAGCAGAGCAGGAGGCAAGAAAAGGCAGGGGGAACAGGAAGGTCTGGAATAAACACTGATGGCCTGGGAGAAGGAAGCGGGCCGGGAAGAGTGAAAGGATTTATTCGTGGCCCATGTTAGAGGCGTCCAATCTGGAGAGAGAAGAGCAGCAGAGGAAGGTGAACCCAGGGGTTGGAAGCGAGTGTATGGCTGCACCCAGGACTCTCCGAGGAGGGCAGCTTTCCCACGAAGAAGGCTGCTGTCACTGAGAATACATGTGTCCCCACATGCGGGAGAAAAGACTGCGGTGTTCTTCGGGGATTAGAAATAAAAATTTTGAGAAAAATGTTAGAGGTGAAAACTTCAAGTACATAGAGAAGGATGACACACAGAAGACTCAATTAAAAAGCCTTCCTATTTTACGTGGAATGTACAATGCTTGGGCATCACACGCATTCGCAGAACACTGGTGGCATCCAGACTTTATTTTGGCTGTGGATAGGGTCACATACTTGGGGTTTTTCCCCTAGGACTAAGGGATGTTTTAGTGATCTAGGATTGAGGCATTCGGGAGTCAGGTTAGAGAAAGATGCCCACATTTATCTAGCATGGTATTAAAGTGGAGGCAGCAGCTAAGATTAAGAGTTCCGTAGACCCCTGCCTGTCAGCACCTCCTTAAAGCGATACATGTTAATGTTTTGCTCAGCAGGACCTTGACTTTAACAATGAATCCAGAAAAAAAAGGCAAGTCATGATAAATCACAAACAATAAAAAGCAACAGAGATTCCCTCTGACCCTCCCACCTTAGCTCTTCCTTCCCTGGGGCCTGTCAGAGTGTGCTAACTGCAAGTACTTAGGCAGAGGCTGCCAGAATCCAGCTGCATCCTGGAGACAGGAGGCATGGCGAGCGGCCTTTTGGAAGCACCCGTGCATTTCTGGCAAGAGCCACCACTGCTGCACAGGTCAGGAGGGGACCTTGTAGGCAGGGGACAAACGACAGGAGAAAGCAGAGCAGTGGCAGGACAGAAAGAAACACTGAAATCAGACTTTGCCTGGGGAACAGTTCTGCCCAGGGCCAGAGAAGACAGGAATAGTCTGGGAGAGTCCCTGGGGTCTCATGTGTGGGAAAGACATCTTTAATAGTTAACAAATGAAAAAAGGCATGGAGTTATTCATGTGACCCCTAACATTTTGAAACTGAGCAAATCACCTTGCTTCAGAAGCCTGTAGCCATATTACAGGCTCTCCAGCCAATGAAAGCTGAGAAGGCTAGGAAAACACAAGAAAACTGTAATGAATGACACAGGGAAGTCAACCTCAGACACATCTGTTGCCAAGGAAACACGACAAAGTCAATGTAATAAGCATCTGGGCTGGGTACGGTGGTTCGCGCCTGTAATTCCAGCATTTTGGGAGGCCGAGGGAGGCAGATCACCTGAGGTCAGGAGTTTGAGACTGGTCCGGCCAACATGGTAAAACACCGTCTCTACTAAAAATACAAAAATCAGCCAGGCTTGGTGGCACACGCCTACAGTCCCAGCTGCCTAGGATGCTGAGGTAAGAGAAGCCCTTGAACCCAGGAGGAAGGAAGGAAGGAAGGTACACTTGGTGAGACCCGTGACTCAGTGGATGAATGGAAGGCACAAATGGAAACCTGTTCTTATAAATTACTAAATTTAATAAGTCAGAGGCAAACAACACTTTAGTTTTCCTCTTCTCACTTTGTTAATACTCCACTATCTATAACCAACAGAATGTTCAGTTTTCCTTTTTCTCAGTAGCTTTGAAAATAATAAGACACATACTTCACGTGTTAAAAGATGCTTGGACCAAGGATGCTTTTTACCCTGACCTGTGTGTCCCTGAGTTCAAGATACTCAAAGTTGTTGTTTGTTTTTTTTTTTTTTTAATGCGACTAATTACTTTCTTTCTTTTTTTTTTTTTTTTTTTTTTTTTTTTTTGAGACAGAGTTTCGCTCTTGTTACCCAGGCTGGAGTGCAATGGCGCGATCTCGGCTCACCTCAACCTCCGCCTCCTGGGCTCAGGCAATTCTCCTGCCTCAGCCTCCTGAGTAGCTGGGATTACAGGCACAAGCCACCATGCCCAGCTGATTTTTTGTATTTTTAGTAGAGACGGGGTTTCACCATGTTGACCAGGATGGTCTCAATCTCTTGACCTCGTGATCCACCCGCCTCGGCCTCCCAAAGTGCTGGGATTACAGGCTTGAGCCACCGCGCCCGGCCGCGACTAATTACTTTCTCAGTTCCTTGAAGGCAGGAATATGGTATAGGGAAATGAGAAGAGTTTCAATCCCTGAGTTCAAATCCCTGTTCTCCTGTTTATCAGCTAGAGGAGGTTAGACACATTATTAAGTCTTTCTGAGCCTTGGGCCATTGAAGTAAAGATGCTATCCTGCCAGCAAAGAAAGGTGAGAAGGGACTGGCCCCGGAGGCAGAGGGAACTCAGGAGGAGAAAGTGCTTTAAGAAGAAAAGCGTTTTTAGGAGAGAGTGGTCAACCATGTTGAACCATGCTGCAAAGATCCGAAGAGAAGTTTCCACTGTGTCTGCCAACACGTGGAAACCTATCAAGGCACACACCAAGACTTTTACATTGTTTGGGTCCGTCATTTCAAGACCATGGGGCATCTTAAAAGGAAAAACAAGATAGCATCCCAAGGTCTCATTGAAAACAAAATCTAAGAACATAATTTTTACAAGTCTTGTTCTTCCTTTGACTTAAAATAATTTCTAGGTTCTCTGTGTCCATTTCAGGGAGGATTCTAGGGGATGGGTGTAAACGAAACCTAGACTATATAACTCAGGGTAGGTTCGGAAACATTTCCTCCTCATTGTAAGCACATCTGATAACAATATTTTCCTTACTGATGTGCAGTAAGCCTTTCAAATGCAGTCAATTCATGGTTAGCCTAAATTTAGGCAAACACAATTTCTGAATACTAAGACAAAGAAAAGCAAATGCCATAAAAAGCTGTCTAGCACGAAGGCCTAAAAATACTAGATTGTTCTCCAAACTTCACACACAAAGGAAAAGATCTTGGCTATCAGAGGCTGAGTTGACTCCATGGAAGCCAGAGATAAGGCCCCCCTCATGTGTGAACTGGCTTCCCAGGGTGCAGTCTAACTTGCTTCCAAGTTGGAAACACATTTCATCAAAACTCATATTAATTATGATGCCTCTACCCCCCACTTTACGACTGTGGTTATGCAGAACCAAAGGAATCAAAAGGTCTTAGAGACATGGAGAATGGAGACGACCCCTTAGTTTGGAGGGACTGAACGTGTGAGAGGTGAAGAGATTTGCCGAGTGGAGCAGTTCACAGGTAAGCACGCTCCTGCGCTCCCTACCTGAAAGCAGACCTCTCTGGCCCTCATCTCCTTCTGCTACCTTCCCAGTCCTGCTTCCTGAGCCAGCACAACCCCTCACTGGCTATACGCACTGGCTCTGTCCACTTCGGCCTGGCTTCCTTTCCCACCAGCCATGCAGTCCCACTTCTCTTTCTTCACCCCGCAGGCAGCATCCAACATCAGCTACTCCCACCTGCTTCCCTCAGCTTCTTTTCTGGCTTCCATGGCCCTGGTGCCCTGGTCTCTCCGGGGAAACACATGATGGTTTCCCCAGAATCCTTTGTTGGCTCCCCCTCTTCCTCCTGACCTCTTCTCTCACTTTCCCCTCTCCCTGGGGATTCTACTGTGTTCAGGATTTAAAGGTTTTATAGGCTGAATGTTCCAGTCTCTCCAATGAGCTCCTGACTTGCAATCTCCAAAGTTCATAATATTAAATATCTGCTGGTCATCACAAACAACACAGGCAAAGCTGGAAACTTTCTTTTCCTTCCAAGCTCCTCCCCATGTCTTTACCATCACATAAATGGGATCACCATTTACCCACTGCTCAACTCAAAAACCTCAAAGTCATTTTGGATACACTCACTTTCCTCTGCTCCACATTCAATCAACCATAGACCTGCCAGTTCCATGGCCAAAACACATCTCAAATAGATCTGCTTCTTGCGGCCGGGCGCGGTGGCTCACGCCTGTAATCCCAGCACTTTGGGAGGCCGAGGCGGGTGGATCACAAGGTCAGGAGCTCGAGACCAGCCTGGTCAACATAGTGAAACCCCGTCTCTACTAAAAATACAAAAAAATTAGCTGGGTGTGGTGGCTCATGCCTGTAATCCCAGTTACTCGGGAGGCTGAGGCAGGAGAACTGCTTGAACCCAGGAGGCGGAGGTTGCAGTGAGCCGAGATTGCGCCATTGCACTGCAGCCTGGGTAACAAGGGCGAAACTCCGTCTGCTTCTTGCATCTGTCACTGCCTCCCCAGGGCCTCTTGCGTGGACCACTGCAATGCTCCAGCTGTCCTCCTGGCTTTCTGTCGGCTGACTGCTGTGCTCCCCACACAGCAGCAGAGCAGCACTGTACAAACGCTGGGCAGATCATGCCACCTTCCTGCTGAAGGTCCTGGAGCAGCTTCAGCAAAACCTGGAGAAAGGTCCGTGTGGCCTGGCTCCTGCCTACCTCTCTTGGCCCTGCCCTCAGTCCCCTTTCCAGCCACACTGCCCTTCTTTCTGTCCTCAAGGCACACTAACGCCTTTCCTGCCTCAGGCAGGCTATGGACAAGGCAGCTCATGTTCAGAGAGAAATTCTCCCACCTCCTTACTCGCTGCCCTCCCGTTAGCGTGGACATCACTGAGTGGTCTGCTCACGGCGCTGCGCACCACCTGTAACCGGCCGGTACATGCAGCCGTGCCCCTGCTAAGTGGAAGCTCCTTGACAGCAGGGGCCATGTCCACATTGGCCATCGGAGTAGCTGTCCTGCCTGGCTCAGTCAGCACTGGCCTAGGGAACAGACGCGGGAACAGTGGCTTTGGGGCGGGAACACAGGTCTCCTGGCTCCTGGCCCGCTGCACTTCCCTCTGCTAGATCTGCCTTTCCGAAACAATAGATGAGTCAACTTGGGAGGCCGCCTTAGCGTGCAAGCGCAGGGAACTTTGCCGTGGGAAGGGTGCAGCCTGCCACACCCGACCTTCTGCAGTGCTGCACAAAAGCCCCAGCCAGCTCCCTCCCTGGGGTGCATTTACATTAGGCTTCAGTCGCAGTCAGGCGGAGTGGGGGTGTTCATTTAAAAACAAACCACAACAGCAGAGCCATCCAAGGCAGGCTCTACCCAGACAGGTATGGGGGCCTTTAGGGCAACCATCTAAGAATGGGTGAGGAGAGCGGCCGTTCCTGGATGGCTGTCCCTCCCCACCTGTTGGATGGCAGGTTCCAAGCACCTGAGTCTAGTCAAGAGGGGGTGGATGGAAGCTTCTGTTGCCATAGCAACCACAGTGCTCCCGCAACCTAGGCACCAGCTTTCAGATAACCATTTGGCAAAGAAAAGGAGCAAAGCAGAGAGGGAAAAACATGGAAAATGGCACGAAATAATGGCAGGAAATAATCTTGCACATGCCGCAAGCCACAGTCTGCAAACAAAACTCAGGAGCCGGCTGTGGAATCGTGCTGCAGGGGAGAGCAGCACAGCCTTCCTGCTGGGCTACAGTGGAAACAAAAGGCCCCATTGACACACACATCTGTGACCACTAAACACTTAGAAATCAATATTTTCCTAAAGATTTTTCCCCCTTTGGCTTTACAGGGTTACTGTCTGCCAGGCTGCCAAACCCCAACTCTCGCCACGTCCACAGCCACCACATGAAGTGACTATTAGAACTTCAAATGAAGGATCTGACCCCAGAAATGGCCCCATGCTAAGTTTTTTTCCCCAACAGAGTCACCGGAAAAAGTCAGAAGGCAAATCAAAACGCACACTCTGAAAGACTTAAAACATAACCATCACATCTTGGGGGAGAAGGAGCACACCCCAACTTAGTTTAAAAAGGAAACACAGCAGATGCCGTCGGCTGGCCGGGAGGCATCGCGAAGGAGAGAAGGAAGGGTGGGGCCTCACCTTAACACCTGCATCTCCTCCGGGGAGCACCGCATCTCGTCCTGGAGGCGACGCCAGCGCAGGCAGGCCCTCAGCTCCTGCTGCTCCCGGGCCTCACGGGGGTCCAGCTGCTGAGCCACAGACACACAAACACACGTGCACGAAACACAGTCACCGCTGTGGTCCTGGTGAAATGGCTCACTTTGTTTCAAGGGAGGATGACATAGCCTGCCCCCTGCGCTCACCCTGCTCCCATCAGAAACCTAAGGGCCACCGGAGCCTCTTAGCGCCTAAAACAAAAAACCCACCTCGCACGCTCGCCTGTGCTGCTGGTGGCGGAAGTCGCCTTGTTCGGGAACCCACCCATCCCCCCGACACACACCTGGTCTGGAGACAGTGGGCTTCCCCTGGGCCATTTCTACTTTGATCTCATCCAGTCCTTTTTTCCTGCTTTGTCTTTCTGCGCAGGGTGGGGAAGGCCCCGCCGTTCACCTGCGATTTTTCTGCAGCCCTCAGTTTTGTTAAGGACTGTTTCCGGTGGGGCCTGCTAATGCAGCCCAGATGATTCTGTGTGCACGTCACTGGAAGACGTGCTGCCTGGACTCACTCTGGGGGAGGGGAGGCCGTCGCACTCTGCCCTACTGAGTCAGGACCAGCTGCCATCCCACGGTGTGCTCGACAGGCCACGTGGCCCAGACCTCTGTGAGGGAGGGCAGCAGAGCACCCACTGGGAAGGGAGACGTCTATCCACAGGTGTTTCTGGAAATCAAAGGTTCCTTATAGCTCATTCGACAGATATTTACTGAGTCTCTGCCTGGCCCTGGGGATGTTACAGACAGGGCCTGGGGGAGCAGCCAAGGGAGGGAGAGATGGGGGAGGAACGCTACCATCAGAGAGCAGGTGATGGGAGAGGTGAAGGAAGAACCCAGATGTCCCCTTGCCCACCAGGGCTTCCTGAGGAGGTGGTGGTGACAGCGCTGGTCCTCAGGGAAGCAGGAGTCGGCCGGGGAGGAGGAATTGCAGGAAGAGAGAAAGTTTCACTTGCAAGGCACACGGGGCCGGGCAGATGTGTGACGTGCTTAAAGAAGGCAAGGGACGTGGTCCAGCCCAGAGCAGACTGTCATTCCGGGAGGGAGCGAGGGGCAGGCAAGCTAGCCAAGGTCACAGATCCTCAGACCCCATGTGCCTGCTGTTATGGACAAAACTATGTCTCAGCAAAATAGACGTCTTGAAGGCCTGACCTTGGTGTGTCTGTATTTGGAGATAGGGCCTTCAAGGAGGTCATTAAGGTTAAATAAGTCATGAGTTGGACCCTAATCCTGTAGGGCTGGTGTTCGTATAAGAAGAGGGAGAGCCAACAGATGTCCTTCTCTCTGCATGCACAGAGGAGGGGCCGTGTGAGAACGCAGAGAAAAAGCAGCCGGTGACTGTCTGCAAGCCAGGAAGAGAGAAGGCCCTCAGCAGAAACCAACCCTGTTGGCACCGTGGTCTTGGACTTCCAGCCTCCAGAACTGTGAGAAATAAACATCTGTTGTTTAAGCCTCCCAGTCTCTGGTATTTCTTATGGCAGTGCAAGTAGACTAACATGTCTGTGAAGGCATTTAGACTTTTTCTAGGTTGATGACAAGTTATACCATTCAACCTTGCAACTGACTCAATTCATGAATCCTGTGGTACCTCTCTGAGTGGATGGCAGTCTCCATGTCCTTCTTGGGATTTCACACGCCGCCCACCGCCTCGCCACGCCCCGCCCCGCCCCGCCCCACCCCTGGCCCCTTCCACTCATTGCTGCAGAGCGCAGTCTACCAGGCAGCAAAGTGACCCTGGTGACCGCTGCCACCCTGAGTCCCCATGCCCTGCTCCCTGGTGGGGCCTGCTGGCCAGGAGCAGCCCAGGAGGTGGCATAGCCACCCCTGCCCCACAGGGCACTCCCCCACTCCCTGGAAGGTCTGAGGCAGGCGCTCACCAGGGCCAGCAACAGCCTCAGTCTCACCCTTCAAGGGAGAGTTCTGCCTGGCGGACGTGCTCTGGAAATGTCTCAAACTTTGTGCTGGAATCTAGAATGGCCATTTTGCCTCAGGGGTGTCCATGGTTTCGCATCTCAAAGATTTACTGCACATACTTCCAAGGATGATGAGGGGGCTGACCCTTATCATGTTAAGGGAAAGGAGTGACAGAGAAAGCCTAGGTCTTGCTGTCCCTTTAGGCTCACAACCAAGCCACCACCTCCACAAAGGCTTTCTGGACCCGCCCAGACCTGTCCTCCCCTACCTGGGAACTCTGAGGATATTTGGTGTTTACTTCTTTTAGCAAACTTATCAGTCAAGAGGCAGGGTCAAGGCAGCAGACTAAGGAGTGGTCTCCTAGAAATCTAGGCAAGGGAAAGGGTAAAGGAGGGGCACTCTTTGGGGGATGCAGGAGATAAAAGACAGAGGTGTCTTTTATTGTAATTGCACTACAATTGCCAGGACCAGCGCAAATGTGATCGTCTCAGGAGGGAAGCGCTCCAGGGAAGAGATGGCGATAGAGGCACCCCCTGCTGAGGGTCTGCGGATAAGGCAGAGGGAAACATAAAGAGGAAGGGAACAGGGATTTCTTGCACACACTCCACATGTCAGGCGCTGTGCTAAGCTCATCCATACCTGATCCCATTCACCCTGCAAGCTTCAGCATTGTTGTATCCATTCTACAAATAGGGAAACGGAGGCCTGGGGAGGCGACCTAACCTACCTATACTCGCAGAGCCGGTAAACGGCAAAGCCGGGACTGGAGGTCTTCTGACTCAGAGCCCAGCACCTTTCCTGTATCTACCATGTGGCCTCTCCTCACAACAGGACTCTGTGCGGCAGGAGACACGGATGTGCACACTGCCGGGTCCACAGCCAGGGTGTGAAAAGCAAGACCCAGCTCCAATTTAAGGCAGTCCTAGTCCAGATGTGAGGACAAGGAAATAACACAGAAGGAAAAGGGAAAAAAAAAATGAGGAAACAGGTAAGCACCAAGTACGGTGAGCACCCAGTGTATAGGTGGCCAGTACTGAACTGTGAGTCGGGTAATCAGTCTGGGCTATCTAGAGATGGTGACCTCCAGCTGGTCAGCGAAAATTAAGTAAGATTTCAACAAAGGACCTTGAACAAAATCATGCAGGTATGCACAAACTTGGGAATTTTGGAAAATGCCAAATAGTCCAGTGTATAAGCGGCAGGGATGACAGGGGGAAAAGGTGACCCAAATACTAGGAACTTGACAGTGAGCACGAAGCAGTGTAGTTGCTCATTATCCCCATTAGAACTGGTGGCCAGGCTGGGCGCGGTGGCTCACACCCGTAATTCCGGCACTTTGGGAGGCCCAGGCGTGTGGATCACCCGAGGTCGGGAGTCCGAGACCAGCCTGACCAACATGGAGAAACCCCGTCTCTACCAAAAATACAAAAAAATTAGCCACGTGTGGTGGCACACGCCTGTAATCCCAGCTACTCAGAAGACTGAGGCAGGAGAATTGCCTGAACCCAGGAGGCAGAGGTTGCGGTGAGCCGAGATCGCGCCATTGCACTCCAGCCTGGGTGACGAGCAAAACTCCGTCTCAAAAAAAAAAAAAAAAAGAACTGGTGGCCAATGTTTTAAGGTAGAAGTTGCAAACTGGGAGTGTGTGCACCATCTCTGGCTTCTAGGTATGGTTGTCTTGAGTGGTAATTTTTAATAATTAGTAAACTTCACATAAAAATCCAGATTTATCAATTACCTTGAAAAGCTAATAGTGTAGGTTATATTGGGCCCTCCTCCCTTCACCATGACAATTGGTTAGAGCTGAATAGCAGCTGTCAGTTTGCCATACTCCTCACCATTCCCTAATCTACACCACCCCTGCTTCATTCTTCATTCATTACTTACGAGCAGACATCTGAGATGACTCTAGATTTATGTTTTGCTGTCTTTATTTAAAACACGCACACACACACATCACCACAATTACAACCACAAAGAAGTGCTTGAGTATGCCATAGCATGACCTTTTCTTCACACCTCTGCTCAAATATCTCCTTTAATCAGAGAGGCCTTCTCTTGCTACCTTCTAAAATAGAATCCACTGCCCCTCTGTAGGGCTCATTTTTCTTCGCGGTGCTCTACCACTTGACCCATTTCTGATCCACTTGTCTGCCTGCTCTCTCTCCCATCTCTAGACTGTAAATCCTGTGGGGAGAAGGGGCTTCCCTCTTTTGTTTATGCAGCCATCTCCCCAGCAAAATCTCTGCCTCCTGCATAGAGGGCCCTCAGTCCATAGGTGCTGGATGAATGAATGACTAGAAAGGGAATTTGACTCTGGATAGTGAAACGCTTAGGGTCACTTTAACCCACCTGCTGTGCCGCAGCCCAAAACACATCCTCCAAGTGAGTGGCGAAGCCTTCACTCAGCCACTCCTCCGTCCAGTCGCGGGCCCCGATGGCTAGGCCAAACCAGGCGTGGGCAATTTCATGGCAGAGGCGGGTCCCACAGAGATGGCTCCCTCCTGTCAAGATGCTCTGAGAGAGGAACATGATGTGTGGGCTGTGGATAATGGGGGAGAAAATGCACAGTGTCTTGTTAGAGCCTGTCCTCGTGGCCACCCCATGGGGCAGCGCGCCTAGCCTGGAGAGCCTGTTATTACCGTGTGCAAGCTAGATCCTGACTGATAGGCTTGAGGCTTAGATGCTTTCAGACATCAACAAAGCGGCAGTTTATGCTTCTGGCTGCAGTTCAGGTGGCCGTTCCTGCCAAGCAGTTGTCTCCGTCACCAAACGGCTATTACCTGTAATAAGTAACCTGCCCCAAAGTTTTACGCTCAGAAAAAAATTACAAGGCAATGGAAGCAGTTACTCTGAAATCTGGGCTCTAAAAGAAGAGCAGGTGTGACAGTGTGAAGCCCACATGCTGTCGGGAGCGCGATCAAAGAAGACCCTTCAGCCAAACATCTGAGCAGCTTACAAACAAATTGAGAAGTCATGTAGAAGGACAGAAAAAAAAAAAAAAAAAAAAAAAAAAAAAAACAAGAAGAACGGAGCAAAAATGTTTCCATTCCACATGGGAGTTGGCTATGATGTTAACAAACAAGCAGGTGCCGGGGATGGGTGAGGTTTCCAGGAGGCCCGAATAAAGGGCGAGCCTGTGTAATGCCAAGCTTTCCGTCGTATCTGCAGGTGCTTATGGACCCACATGACAGAACAAAATCATGCTGAGAGAGAGAAAGAAGGCAGGGAGTCAACCCACCCAGGTGTGCAAATGGCCCCAGGACTGGCACCAGACAGGAAGATTTATCTAATCTCATTTTCCATACCTGTGTTAAAACCCAAAATACCACCATTAAAACTGCACAGATGAAATGGGAAGCAGAGGCGCTGATGAAAGAAAAGGCCCATCAAATACCTTCCGTACCTCCCCCTCCAGCAATTATCTTTTCCAGGACTTGTTTACAGTCTTCCTAATGAAGAATTTGCTCTTAAAAAAATCTCTCCTCCATCAGTTGAACAAAAACAGTTGTGAAACCTTCCAAATTAGGAAACTGTACACACGGGTTCCTCCTTTCAAAAGTCATTTGTTTGCCATCATGTCGGCTCGGCACAAGCCAAGACTGCTCGCAGGTTTTTCTTCCACTCCCACAGCCCCCATTAGAGAAAACCCCACCTAGAGTTCCCTTACACAACATCACCCCTTCAGCTCAGAGAGCTCAACTGCGATCGTGGTAGTCATGTCTGCCAAAACAGACAGCTTTCATGTGAAGTAATAACAGGGCAGGCATGCAAATGAAGAAGCGTCTGCCAGGTGCTCCGCAGAGGACACTAGAAACCCCAGAAATCACAAGTGGAGTTGCGGCACGCGGGACGAGGCGGTGCAGTGCGACAGGCACCAACGGTATTGTTCACTAACTCGGGGGGGGGGGGGGAAAGGGGACAAGGAAGGAACTGAGAGGCACAGGAACCAAACTCCCCTCGCTGAGAAACTCGCCCCGTTGAGAAGACAAACTGTGCAACCTGGCATTTTCAAGTAAATGGCTCTGGCATGCGCAATGCTACAAAGAAAAGCCACAGAAATGTACCAAGTAAATAACATTCCAGACATACTGCTGGCAGCAGTTCACCCTTTGGGCTAAAACAAAACAGAAGTAACTTCAGGCCTTATAAACAGGCTGGAGGACAAGCTTGCAGGGGCAGGGTCTGTAGCCAGAGAGACAGACGTGCCAGTCCTTACAGAGACTGGAGGGCGGACTCCAGCCAGGACGCTTCCACAAGCGAATGGCTGCGAAATCGCTGAGACTATTCACGAAGAAAAAGCCTCCACCGTCCAGGGGCCTGCCTGCTGCTCTGTCCCAGTGTGGAAGCCTCGCCGGGGGCCCGCTGATGCAAAGAGAAAAGCCTGCGAGCGCCTGAAGGAACGCACAATGGCAGCCATGTGGGGGGGGCACCTCTTTCTCCCACCCTTTCATTTTTTCTGCTTGAGCAGTCCTTGTCTGCCCCAGACTCCTTCCGCACCCTTCAGTGTTCCGGAGACACCA